GTGCGTCACGCAAGAGTGACCTGTTCCCCGCGCGAAGAAACTGGTACGAGCCACCTTAATTAAATACTAAATTCCCAAAGCTACAATTACAAGATATCTGAAGGACAGATTAGCGTTCGGGGAGTAAAAGGGTGTAAAATCGAGTGAAAGAGCCACATGTTGAGGAAGCTGCTCTCCACAAACTTCAGCTTTTTAGACCTTACACTCTAAAATTCCGGATCATCCTCGGTGTAAAAACCTGACGAGGTTTTCTTTGTTTCATGAGGTATTGTTTTGCTGTACGCTATTGTTTATATGTTTAATGTTTTGTTGTCTTTAATGTTTTACGTCACTCGTGAGCTTCACAGGTTTTTACACCGAGGATGAGCCAAAATCTCTTCAACTACAATTTTCTTATAAATATCAATAAGAAGATTGGACATGCTCACAAAATTTTCCTGGATGCTCTCTTGAGAGTTAGTAAAAATAATCTAGGCTCGAATTTAATTGAAAAAAACTTGTTCCCAAATGGACAAGTGTTACTTACACAACACGAAACCTGTGTGATTTAATTTCATCTTGAACTATTTTAGAACAAATTGTAAGCTTTGAAAGTTCAAGAATATTGATAGGACTCTGCAATATTGAAACGAGGCTGATGAAACCCTGTTTGCAGTCACCTGTTTCACCTTTAACTACTGCTTACCTTAACGATTCCTGGTGTTCCTTCCTCTTCTGATCTCTCAACAGTTAATCTCTTTGTTGATTCACTATTCCCCATGGCGTATTTTCACGCAAAGGTATTATGTGCCCAAAGGTATATTCAAGTGCTTTCTAGCCTACGAAGCAGCCATGTTGGATTACAGATGGTGCCCGAGATAAGTCCTGGGCAGCGGACAAATTGCCATAGAAACGGATTCCAGAAGCTCTATCCACTCAAATCATTTTTTCTTCTGTCTCAAGAGGCAGCAAGAGGTAGGCTTGAAATTTTTGTAATTCAAGATTCAATTATTTATTTCGAGGCGAGAAAGGAGGGTTCGGCACGATGAGTCGTTTGAATCCTCTTAAACCTGAAGCATGCCGAAGAACAGTGAGTCTTGAAACAGTTCAACAGCACCATGATATTCATGAACACAAACTTCACGGTAAAAGGGAGATTTACAGAAACCGCAACGAAACATACGCGAGGTCGATGTACGGGAATCCAGTGGAGAAAGAAAGAGTCAAGTAAGTCTTAAATGAACCAAGTTGACTTTTTAAAGGTTATAAATAGGTTGTTAACCACTCCTGTTAAAGTGGCAGCGAATCAAACAATAAGTTTTAATTAACCTCCATCACCTGCGAGGAAACGATTGTTCGGTTTAATGTTTGTGAAAACTTCCTTTGCAAAGATCCTGGTGTTAAGAGTTCTCCCGATTATCTAACACTAATATGAAACAAAGATTTCACTAAAACGACAGCAGGCAGCAGAGCGGAATTTCTTGAGGATTTTGTTTTGTTTAACAGTGCTGAACCGGTCAGTTGCAAAATTTGTATGGGGAGTGGGACAATCTGTTACCCGGACGACTGGGAGGGGGAGGGGGGGAGCCTATGATCAAAACCCTGCAAAATCCTTTGACGATTCAGAAAGGAAGAACGAATAAAATTTCCTACTGTCGTAGTGAAAAGAATTGGATCATACCGCAAATATATAGCACTCCCAATCACGGTAACGAGTCTCACAACTATGAACGTGAGTGAGCGCGAACGATAGACATGCGAGTCTCACCGCCTTAGCACTTGATCCTCGATAGTGCCTTTGTTTGTCGCGAAAAATTTATTAATTAATTCCTTGGAAGTGGTTTAAATTGGGGGTGAATTATTTCGTTCAAACTGTTCAGTAGAAAAAACTCCAATAATCTCTTAACGCTCTCCCGTTATTCTTCCTACTGTACAAAAGAATTTGAATTAAACCCAAATAGCCGGTGGGGACTGGTGCAAAATTGGTCCTGTGGGCAAATTCGGAAATTTCCAGCAAGGATCGTTTGCTGAGCCACCCTCACGGTTACAGCTGTACATGCTCATGAATAAAGGGGTGGGTTGTTTCCCTAAACCTCCCCCCTCCCCCTCCACCCTCCACCCCCCCACCCCTGTCTCACCCTCAATTCTGACCATGTAGAAGAGATGTCATTTAGCTGGCTATGAAAGATGACTTTGTGGCAAAGGATAGTCAAAGAGTCAGAGCTTATGGGAATGGAGGCTGAGAACCTAGAAGAAACCAGCCATTGCAGGAGGGGGGGGAAGGATAGAGCAGCTGGGATGGGGGAGGGAGGGGTGGAAAAGAGACAGAGTGGCCCTACTATCATAATTTCCAAAAAAGCCCCTAAGTGTATTGTATTCTGATTGAGTTCCAATACCCTTCAGGCCAATGTCCCCTTTGCTAACTTGCATTTTGCATTGTGCATCTGTTTCCCTTAGTTGTGTTGGAATCAAGCTTTAAACCCCCAAAAAAATAATTTTATTTATTAATATTTTGATTATTTACTCTTTAGTTAATCATTATTCCTTCGTGACATGTTACTTCTAGGCAAGAGAGCCGTTCAGCACTGTTGCAACAAATGAAAGAAAAAGACATGGCCCACCAAACACACTTGTCTGAAAGAACAAAGGAAAGTGACTTTGCTATAAACTATGACAGGATCTGTTTACAGCAGGACAAGGAAGAGCGAATCAACAAAGAGAAATATCTGCAACAGTTTCGGAATGAAAACAAGCGGGTAAGTGTACAAGTGTTTAATTTTCCCATGATAGTTTTATGTAGTTGACTAATTTACACAACTGCCATGACTTCATCCCCACATCAGAGCAAAATAAAGGTAAGGGTAAAGTCTGTCCACCAGCCCTGTGGCTCACCCAATGTAAGCTTATCCCTGTTTCTGTAGAAATATGAAGCAACTGGGAGTATCACCAGGGAGTTTAAGGAACAACAACATCGATGTCTGAGTGGGGTGGGGTGGAGAGGGGCACTCTGAGAGTAAAGTGTTTAGACCAAGAACACAACAGATTGAATCCATTTCTTGAAAGTAACTTAACTGGCCAGAAGCCATGTTTAAAAATCCAAAGTTAAAGGATAGGAAAGCAGGTTCTGGCACCCAATCAGTCCTTTTTGTTTCTTTAGCTGATAGTTTTATTGTATTATTTTCAAAACTTTTGAAATCCCTTTCTTGAATGAAAACAGAACAACTTTACAGGCTCGTTCAGGTACCGGGACTTTTGAGAAACGGGCCCTAGTACTTGAACCCAGACCCTATCGACCCAGGGTCCAGCTAACTACCCATCAGCCCACCATGTCTCCCTCAAAGAGCAAGGTGGTGACATTTTAATCCATTTAATGTTGATTTTTTTTTTTTTTTTGCTGCAGTTGATGGAACTGCGTGCAGAACAACAAAAGAAAAACAGGCAAATGAGACATCTGGAGGAGAGGAACCTTCTACAACAGAGCCCCATAAACTGGAGTCACACTCTACACTGAAAGACATTCGAAATTAATATAAGTGGCACCACTTTGATTAACAAAATTTGCTTTTTTATAGTTAATTGATTTTATTTGTGGTGTGTTCTTAACCAAATAATTTATTGACAGCCTGTTAAATAGAATTACAGGACTGGTATACTTCAAAAGAAGCTACACTTGTCCACCACAACAGAGAATTCCACTCTTGACTAAGCTTTTCAAACCAAGGTTTGTTGGAGTGGTACTAAACTCAGATACTTTACAGTGTAATATTTAAACACTGAATATTAATCTTCAATGAATTAAAATGTAATGACTAAATTTTAGAGTTCTAATGGTTACTAAATTTTTTTTCCAAGCCACCATACACAAGGGTTAAAATTAAACTTTCACATATTTTCAAGTGCTTATTAAAGCATTCAAGCATAAAAATGTTCAGAAAATAATTTTTGAGTACAAGAGCCCATGTCACATACATTTAATTTGTAATTTCCCTTTTGGGACACCTACTCAGACAAGGAACACAGATTGTGGCCCTGTCTGGAAATGATGCTCCTATCACATCCGTACAGAGGAGACACTTTTCCTAGCTGTAATCATGTCTCTGGGAGATATGTTTCCCTGCAAGACTGTTGTAGCACATGTAGAACAAGTCTCAGTATGTTGTAGAAATAAAAGATGTGTGCACAACCTTATGGTGCTTGTTGATTGCTGACCAATTGTGTGCCACTGTGTCAGTTTACACCATCACTGCTGCTCTATCCTCATGACCTCGAATGGCAACAACCTTGCATTTTTTTTCTTGTATTCGCAGTCTACCCGATCATTTATCTTCAAATAAATTATTCCTTGATATGTTCTTGCTCTTGGTGACCCTGTCCATCACTTGAAGTACCAGGTGTCTACAGATTTAACAGCCATATTTGCAATCAGGCATTAAAGAAAAATTACAACCCATAATCAACAAAATAACAAAAATTACACCTCACTGGCATACATGCATTTCTGTTTCATTGTCAAACAAGCTATCATTACCTGTTCTTGTTTACGCTCTTTTTCATTTTCTTTTTCGACCAAAAATGCCCGTGTCATTTCCAGTGTTTTAGTGGTCTTGTATCTGTACTTTAACTGTTTTGATTCACTGCTATCATTTGATTCTAGAAGATGAAAAGAGAAGAAACAGTTATTTAAATAGTCACCCTTTGAGATACATAGAGTCCTAAAGTTACAAAAAAAAAAAAAAACAGAAAAATATAATTATTCCTTGTTGGCCCTAACAGCTGTAGCTACCTAGATCTGACTAGTGATACACCCTTTTAGCTGACATACATCTCCTGGTAAATTAGTGAAGAGAATTTGGTTTTTCGTCAAGAGAAAATTTAACAAATCAAAAGTGGTTTGGCATGGTCTGTACTCTTATCAGTAGCAACATTTCTATCACAGTGGTCAAAATGTAAGTTGTACACTCAAAAGAGGCAGCCTTGTAAGTCTGC